GCAGTGACGAGGATAGAAAGAGAGAGGGGAGAGAAAATGAAAAAATTAGGGTTTGAAATTGTGTAGGATTGATTTAAATAAAAATTAATTTAAATCAATCCTACACAATTTCAAACCCTAATTATTTCATTTTCTCACCCCTCTCGCTCTCCCTGACGACCCATTTTCTCTCCCCTCTCTCTCTATCCCCATCGCCACCACCCTGATGGCACCACCCCCACTGGCATCACCACCGCCTCTATCTATTATCACATCTCACCCTCTCTCCGTCGCGAAGTCTTTCCTCTCACCCTCTCTTCGCCGCGAAGCCACCGCTGAGTTAGACAAAATTGGCGCCGGTGGTGTTGGAGGTCTTGTTCATGTTAATGGATATCAGATTTTGCAACATCGGCCGACCATGGCGGTGATGCCAAATGGACAGCAAGTTTTTTTATTGATGGCTTGTTGATAGTGCCGCAGTGCTCTCCGTTGATTAGATCGGGTGAGGTGTTGGTGATGTGTGGTGGTGGTGGTTGTTCTAGCAGCAGCAGTTTTGGTGATGTGTGTGGTTGTGGTTGGATCTGGTGCAAGGTGGCGGTGTGCGTTGATGGCGATGTGGGCGGTGTTGGGGTACGAAGTGGTGGTGGTGACTGTAATTGCACCGGCGTGGTGGTGGATTTGTGGTGGGCGTGGTGGTCTGTGAGATCTGCGAGAAGCGAAGTAGATCTGTGAGAGGAGACGGTGGTTGTTATGTGGTTGTATGCAGTGGTTTTGGCGTTGGTGGCGATGGGCACGTCGAGGTTATGGTGGATCGTTGCAAGGATGCGATGGTTTTTTTGCGATGTGTTGATTTGTTTAAGGTGATGTTGCTGTCAGGAGGTGGTGGTGGTTCTGGCGGCGACTGTGGCAGTGGTGTTGCTAGAGGGAATGATGAGGTGGTGGTAGCGATGTCAACGAGCCAAGCTCGAGCATAAAAAAACTCGAGTTTTTTTGGACCGAGCCGAGCCGAGCCCGTCCAAAAAAATGAGGCTCGTCCCGAGCCTTAGCGGGCCGAGCCGAGCAGGCTCGATTTTTTTGGTTTTTTTTCCTAGCTGCCTTTGCAGGCAGCCTGCAGGCAACAAGCTGATGCCTGTGCTACGGGCCGTCCCAGGCTCGAGCCGACTCCCCAAAGTGGGGCTCGGCCCGAGCCGTCCGAGCCTCCGAGCTTTTTTGCCACCGCTAGGTGGTGGTCACGAGTTGGTGGTTGGCGGTGGTCACAGATTATTTGGTCGTTTGTGACCATTAAATTAGTTAATCTGTGACCAATAAACAATATGTAACTTAAAAATTATTAATTTGTGATCAATAATTTGATAAACTGTGACCTAAATATAATTTGTGATCAATTAATTTGATATTTTGTAACCATAAATAAGTTGTGTGATTTATAAATTTTGTGATTTGTGATCGATGAATAAATTGCTACTTTTAAATTTTTAATTTGTGACCGATGAACAAACGGTGACCTATAAAATTTTTGAATTGTGACTTCAAAATTTTTGAATTGTGACCAAATTGCATAGATCTATAACCTTAGGGTGTGTTTGAGCCATATTATTTTGGAAGAAAGTATTTTAAAATAGTAGATTAATAGAGAATGTGTGATTGAAAATGAGTAGAAGAATGAGAATGAAAAAAATTATGTGGCTCAAACAGGGGCTTAATATATTTAATTAATTAATTATATAACTAATTAATTAAATCATAAATAAATTTTAACAAAAACTTGATTTTTGAAATTTAAAACATATATCCTTAATTTTGAAATGGTGTATACTAAAAAGGGAAGATTACATATTCAAAGAGTATAAGTTTAGTCTATTTCA